GCTCCCACTCAATCAAGCATATTCTATATCTTGATTAAGTTACATGTATTCATTCACTATGGACCATCCATAAGAATGAATCATGTCTATTTGAGTTACAGTTGATCAGATTATGCAACGGAAATTTTCGGAATCTGGACTTCGGACCGTCCATTCAGGAGGTAGAACGGACGTTTCAGGCTGGCAGAACGTTCGGTTTCGACTACAGAAGTCAGAACGGACGTTCCGCCATATAGAACGGACATTCTGCATGGACAGAACGGACGGTCCAGGACAGACCTTCCGTTCCGAGCCACTCAGTCCGTCACCCTTGGACCGTCCATTCTGGCTTACCCATAACGGACGGTCTAGGATAGGTTTCCGTGATCAGATCACGTTTCCCCGCGTTCTCAGCCCCAATCAGACCCGGAACTGATCCGAATTCTTCTGTACACCCAAAATTCGAACTCCTGCACTCTATGCAACATGAAACATGCAATCTACACTAGATTCAATCATCAAACATGCATAGAAATCAAAGCAAACATGGATTCAAACAATTCAAATCCTAAAACGTGCGTGATCGGGTTCTACGAAATCAAAACAGAGAAACCAGGCTCTAATACCACTGTTGGGTTTCCTGGGACCTCATGAGCGAATCTAATTCCTAAGAGATCAATTCTAGGGTTTGCGCAGCGGATATAAAACAAAAATTTTAATGAAACCCTAGAACCATGCTACTATTGAATCATAGAAACGTTAGAACGCTTACCTCATGCTACTATTGAATCGTAGAAACGTTAGAACGCTTTCCTCAATCGATCCGGGGCCTGTATCAATTGAAGAACTCGTCTGATCACGAAAGGCATGAAGAATTCCTTGCCCTCTACACGTATCCACACCTCGGGATGGATTCCAACGATTGGAACTTGTCTGCTAGGACTCGAATCTCTATTCGATATGTGCACCGAGAAATCTCGAGACTTAGAACTCGTTTTTGGATCTCCAAAAACTCTTTTTTCTGCTAAAAGTCGGCTCTCTAGTTCGTCTCTCTCGAGTTAGGGTTTTTAATCTCCTTCTTATAAGGTGATTTAACCCTAATTCGGTTTAATTTCGGAAAAACTGAAGCCCGGAACGGACGGTCCAGAGATACACGCGGACCGTCCGTTCCAGCACGTGGAACGGACGTTCCGCTCACGTGGACCGTCCGGTCTGGTTCGGGCGGACCGTCCGTTCTGGACTTTCTGGTCCGTCCGTTCCAGCCCCTTCCGTCTCTGCTTTTCGTCGTTTTCCCTCGTGCATTTGTCCTTCCCTGCGTGTGTGACCCTGTAGGCTCATTCGA